AATATATCTGATATAAATGATTGACTGGTAGTCTCGAAACACTACTTATACGTAAAATAAGTAATGTAGTCGATTGTTATTACAAAAATACGTTTGCTTCATCGACAATCCTACCAAAGAATGTGATATAGGAAAAGGCCTGATCTTCCTTTAAATCTACTTCTGTCCTGTAACCCAAGGGCATTCATGGGTCACTGTCTCGGTTTGACTCCCGCTATGGGTGTTGATAAGGCCTATACGAGGTCGAAATTGCAGCCCACCCTGTATGAGAACAACTTTAGGCAAACCAAGGCTCTGCAAAATTCAATGGAAACTTCAGCTCTACTCATATCATTATGGGAAAATTCAACTACCAGTCCTTCATCGCTTAAACTAAATTGGGTGAATACATCTCATATTACTGATTTACTGGTGGTCTCGAAACCCTACTTGTACGAAAAATAACTTTTATTAAACTTTGTGCTTTAATGAATCTCAGAATTGATGGTTTCCTCGAGCTTATGAATAATGTAACCATTATTGGAATGAGGTGGCTTAGGATAGGTGTTGACGGTATCCCGCTTTAAAATTTACGCATTCCTTGTAAAATTTTACTCTTTCAGTAATGTTTTCCCTTATACATAAACTTACTTAGAACTTGGCAAAAATATCTGGGACCAACACTTGCTCAGTTTGGATTTTGTATATGCAAATTTGCGCCTAAAAATGCCTAGCGCTAAAGCAGCTTTTCACATAGCTAAAGGAGGCTTAAAATGGGTTCCTTAGTGATAAAAAAATGCTTTTTAGAAAAGAATGTATATTTGAACTACCAGGTATATGAGCACTCTAACATCATGCCGTAAGCAATTTTTCAATTTTTCGGGTTGACCAAATTATGCTCAAGAATCTTTCGACTACCCTTAATTAAATTTGAAAATGTCAGATCTTCGTATGATCTTAGATCGTACATATTTTAAATTTAATTGTGTGGCTAGGCAGATACCTTACAGAGCAATTGCATTTGC